TCTAGCCCAAAGTTCCAAATTCTTCTACATTTTCTCCAAGAACCAATTCTGTAGCAAACACAACCACATGGCTTTTAGGCCTTTGGGATTATCATGTTGGAGGGATGTACAAGAGTTTGGAACTTTGGGCTAGGAAAGCTGCTAAGAGCTTAGGGAAAGTATTATGGACCATTCTTTTGGGAAGTTGGAAGATAAGAACACAGAGAGTGGATTCCGGGTTCATGAAGTTGCAAAGGAGATTTGGGACTGTCGTGAACGGGGTAGGGGCCATTACTGTGGTGTTTTGGTCAGGAATCTGGCTTTACTCTGCCTGTGTTTGGAGAACCCGAGTGAAGTTGAATGGGGAGATGATGGACTGGCTTGCCTGGCATTGGAGGCTTCAGGACAGGAGTGGGTTCAAGCCGGTGCTGATGAAACGGCTGTGATTGTTAGAGATTGATACTGCTGGGGAGAAGCCTCAGATGCTGCCCTGGGACCCCAGGAAATGTCCTGAAGACAAAAGCCCCATTCATCAGAGACTCCTCAGGATCCAAATTTACTTAAAGGAAGAAAGCCTGGAGCTGCTTAGTGGAAAAGAGCATTTGCTGCTCTTCCAGAGGACCCGAGTTCGGTTCCCAGCACCCATAACCACCTGTAACTCCAACTCTAGGGGATCCAATGCCGCCTTCTGACCCCTGAGGCACCTGCACACAGGTGGCACACACACACACACACACACACACACACACACACACACACACACACACACACACACAAATTAAAATAATTAAAAAAAAAAGCCCAAGGGATTCTCTGCCCCTTGAAAGCAAACGCATAGGAAAAGTGTTTCCCTAAGGTCAGCACACTGCTGATAGTTAAGGACACAGACACGGGAACTGACATCAGAACTTGGTAATGTCACCCACCTTGGTACTGGTTCTGGAGAAATGAAAGATGGGAGATTTAGGGAGACGTGAAGAGCACCTGAGGTGGAGTCACCTTGGAGAGGCCCTTGGGAGGTCATTGTGTGACACCGTGAAGGCGAAACTTCAGATGCAATGGAGACCTCAGGATACTGGAAATGGCCAGGAGTGTGCGAAGCTGGCCGAGGAGGGCAGCAGCTCCGGAGTGGAACAGCCTAGGAGAGGAGCTGTGTTGCTGCAGGTGGCAGAGCTGGAGTGGTGGAGCTACCACGCCCTCTGGAGTCCGGCTGATTACATTGCAAGCTCCAGATGCCTCACTTAGAGCTGCAGCATTTGGCTTTTCCCTGCTGGAGTTAAGACACTTTGGACTTTCTGTTGTTGTGGTTTCAAAACACGGTCTTTCTTTTTTGTTTGTTTGTTTTAGTTTTTTGAGACAGGGTCTCTACATAGTCCTGGCTGTCCTAGAACTCACTATGTAGAGCAGGCCAGCCTTGAACATACAGAGATCTCCCTGGGATTCACCTGGCCTGAGACAAGGCCTTTTTATGTAGCACTGGCTGGCTGGAGCTTGCTATGACCAGATTGGCCTGGTTTCAAACTCACAGAGATCCTCCTGCCTCTGCTTCCTAAGTGCTGGGATTAAAGGCCTGCACTACCTTGCCTGGCCTGAGAGTTTTAACTTTTGTTTATTTGTTTGTTTTCTTTTCGAGACAGGGTTTCTGTGTGTAACAGCCCTGGCTGTCCTAGAACTTGCTCTGTAGACCAGGCTGGCCTCAAATTCACAGAGATCCACCTGCCTCTGCCTCCCCAGTGCTGGGATTAAAGGCGTGTACCAGCACCGCCTGGCATGAGGGATTATCTTTTTTTTTTTTTTTTTTTTTTTTTTTTTTTTTTTTTTTTTTTTTTTTTTTTTTTTTTTTTTTTTTTTTTTTAAGATTTATTTATTTATTATGTATACAGTGTTCTGTCTGCACATATCCCTGCAGGCCAGAAGAGGGCACCAGATCTCATTACAGATGGTTGTGAGCCACCATGTGGTTGCTGGGAATTGAACTCAGGACCTTTGGAAGAGCAAGCAGTGCTCTTAACCTCTAAGCCATCTCTCCAGCCCCCGAGGGATTATCTTAATTACATTGATTAATGTGGGGGGAAGCACCCACTGTGGGTGGTACCATTCCTTGGGCTTAGAGTCCTAGGCTTACTGTACAAGTATATAAGTATATAAAGGTATGAGCAGAACTAGCATATGTGCGTTCACTTATTGCTCTTCTCTTGACTGTGGATATGGTGTGACTAGCTGCTACAAGTCTCTACTGCCTTGATGGACTGTAACCTGGAGTTGTGAGTGAAATAAGCTGTTTCTCCTTTAAGTTCCTCTGCCAGTGTATTTTATCTCGGCAATAGGAAAGGAAACTAAGACACAATCCCAATATAATCATTACAGCTTTGCTAATAGGCCAGCAAGATGACTCAGTAGGGGAAGCCACTTGCTACCAAGATTGACAAATGGAGTTTGATCGTCGGGGTCCACCTGGTGGAAGGAAAGATCTGGCATCCACAGCTGTCTTTTGACCTCCACAACGCGCTATGGCACTTGGACACCTGCATGCACATGGAACACACACATACTCGGGCAAACACACAAACACAAAATAAACAGGGGCTGGAGAAAGGGCTCCATGGTTCAGAGCACTGGCTGCTCTTGCAGAAACCCAGGTTTGGTTCCCAGCACTCCCATGGAGCCTCATATGCACTCCAGCTTCAAGAAAACTGACCCCTGGTTGTAGCACAAATCTTAAAAGTACTTATTAATAAAAATAAACATGGAGCCAGGTATTGGGGTGAATGCTGGAAGATCAGAGAAGCAGAACAAGCCACAGCTTCCTCACCTTGCCAATTCCTCAGCTGATCCTGTTTCCTCAAACTGGAAGCTTCTGAGTCCTCATCCAAATGGATCTCAGCTGAACTGCTACTCAAAAGCCTAAAAGCTTAACCAGCTCTAGTTCCTGGTTTTCACGCCTTATATGCCTTTCTGCTTTCTGACATCACTTCCTGGGATTAAAGGTGTGAGTCACCATGCCTGGCTGTTTCCAGTGTGGCTTTAAACTCAGATCCAGATGGATCTCTGCCTCCCAAGTGATAGGATTAAATGCGTGTGTGCCACCATTTTCTGCACTCTATATCTAGTGGCTGTTCTGTTCTCTGACCTCAGATAAGTTTATTAGGGTGCACAATATTTTGGGGAACACAATATCACCACACCTGGTTTCTGAGGACACCTGCACTTATATGTGCATACCCCAACACAGACACATACAGATAACTAAAAATAATAGGGGGCTTGAGAGTTGGCTCAATGATTAAGAGCACATGTTGCTTTGCAGATTCTATTCCCAGCATCCACATGGCTGTTCACAACTGTCTAACTCCAGTCCCAGGGAGTCTAATTCTCCCTGGACATCTGCAGGCACTGCATACATGTGGTACACATACATACATGAAGGCAAAACACTCTTACACATAAAATAATAAAATAAACAAACCCTATAAAAAAAGAAAAACTACAGTCATAAAAGAAGCAGAACAAAGCCGGGCGGTGGTGGCTCATGCCTTTTATCCCAGCACTCGGGAGACAGAGGCAGACAGGGCTGTGAGTTCGAGGCCAGCCTGGGCTACAGAGTGAGAACTAGGACAGCCAAGGTTCCACAGAGAAACCCTGTCTTGAAAAAAAGAAGCAGAACAAATAAATAAGTTTAATTAGTGGAAACTAGAAAGCATTTGCAACAGAGACCAGGACTAGAATTTCCAGTTGTATTTCTTGGGTTGTAGGGTATTAATCCAAATCATTCTGAACTCTTTTTTTTTTTTTTTTTTTTTTTGGTGGGGGTTGTTTTTTTGTTTTGTTTTGTTTTGTTTTGTTTTGGTGTTAGAGGTTAAAATTGGGGCCTTGGTTATGCCCAGCAAGCATCTGACCACTGAGGCACTCTTGCGGCACTTTTTTATTCTTATTTTTTTGGTTTTTCGGGGTAGCCCTGGCTATCCTGGAACTCTCTTTGTAGGCTTGGCTGCCCTGGAACTCACAAAGATCCGATCCACCTGCCTCTGCTTCCCCAGTGCTGGGATTAAAGACATTCGCCACCCCGCCAGGCGGGTGTTAAGTGTTTATAACAGTTGGATGAACGAAGTGCAATGGCAAACAGGGAGTTAGAATGTGATGACTGGTCCAGCAGTTTTTTTGTTTTCTTTCTTTCTTTCTTGTTTTTGTTTTTCGATTCAGGGTTTCTCTGTGTAGCTTTGCGCCTTTCCTGGAACTCACTCTGTAGCCCAGGCTGGCCTCGAACTCACAGAGATCCGCCTGCCTCTGCCTCCCGAGTGCTGGGATTAAAGGCGTGCGCCACCACCGCCCGGCCTGGTCCGGCAGTTTTTAAAAGGTCATGCTCGAACTGCCATCCACAGTAGTGCGTGCGTGCTTGCGCGGCGCCTGTGTGTGTTTAAGAAAGTCTCATTATGTAGCTCTGTGTAGCCCAGGTTGGCCTGGAAACTGCAGTTCAGATCTGGGTACGATGGTGTACCTTGGAAGGTGAAGGCCGTGGGACCAGGAATTCAGCCTCAGCTCCACAGCACATTTGCAGGCATTCTTTCTCAAATGGCAAAAACCCACATAAAAGAGAAAAGCAGAGGAAGGAGGAAATTACAACCCTACTGTCTCAGACTGCGGAGTGCTAACCCCTGACACCAGGCTCAGCTGTGCAGAGCACTCACAGCTTCTCCAAGCGTCTGTAAGCAGCTGTGGGACTAGGCGCTAACTCCACAGCAAGGTAGCAGGCTTCACCCGATTACCCATCCGTCCACGTCTGCGGCGCCTACAAGTCCCAGAACGCATCGCGGGGCGCGGAGGCGGGGCGGCGTGGAGGCCGAGTTTTGTGATTGGCGACGAGCGCCCGGCCAATCGGAGGCGCTGTTGTTAGCCAGTCCCGGAGCCGGTCCGCAGAGGGAAGGTGGCAAGATGGTGTTGGAGAGCACTATGGTTTGGTGAGGAACTTCGGACCTGGCCCCCGGGGGGCGCGTCCGGGTCGCGGGTGCGCATGGCGCCGAGGCCCTAGGGCCTGGGGTGGGGACGGGGCCGCCGGGCGATATGTGGCCTTGGGGCCCGCGGGAGACAGGCCGGCGACTCCCTGAGTCATCCCGGCCCAGGAACGCAGGCCCCGGAACCCGGTTCCCAGACCGGCCTGCCTTTAGCCTGGTTCTCGGACCCTGCCTTCCGTGCCTCCGGTAAAGGAATTAGGAGCAGAGGCCAACCGCCCCATCCACTCGTCTCCAACTCCGTTGCCTTTTCCTGTACTTTTCCTCACGTAAGCCTTATAACAGCATTTAGGGAAAAGAGTCCTTCATTTCTTTTTTTTTTTTTTTTTTTTTTTTGGTTTTTCGAGACAGGGTTTCTCTGTGTAGCTTTGCGCCTCTCCTGGGACTCACTTGGTAGCCCAGGCTGGCCTCGAACTCACAGAGATCCGCCTGGCTCTGCCTCCCGAGTGCTGGGATTAAAGGCGTGCGCCACCACCGCCCGGCTGAGTCCTTCATTTCTTAATGAGTCGGAAGGAGTTTGGGTGATTTAAGTGGTCGTGATACGCAGGAGTCAAATGAAAAGACAGTGCTGTTCTCCAGTGAATTAACTATCAGTTTCATACTTGGGATGAGTCCCTTATTATGAGTTGAAAAAAGAAGAAATTAAAAAAAAAAAATAAAGCTAAGGACATATGTTTTTTTCAGGGCTACAAAAGGGTTTTGTTTTTGTAGATACTGGGAATTGAATCCAGAGCCTTGTAAATGCTGGGAACATTTGTGCTCCATCAATAAGCCACAGCCACACCCCTTTATTGCTTTTATTATTTGTCATCATTATTTTTTAGATGGAGTTTTGACACCATAGCTCAGGCTGGCTTTGAAGCTTTAGTCGAGAAAATGCATAGGCTGGCCTTGAGCTTGGAATCTTCTGTTTCGACCTCCCAAGTATGTAGGCTTATGAGTCTGAGTCACCGGGCTCATGTTTACCTTTGGAGATTGGCTGGCATTGGCAGCTGAAGTAGAGCATGCTGCCAGACTCGATGGGGAGGTGAGGCAGGGGGTTCCATGAATCAGGACTACCTAGCAAGACTGTCTCAAAACAGCACAACCTGAATGCCCAGCTAACTTGGAATTTCAGGCAAATGATGAGTAGGTTTTAGTATAAAAAGTGATTTTAAGTACAACCCAAATGTTTCTCTTAAAAGTTACTCAATGCAGCTGGAGAGATGGCCTGGTGGATTAGAGCACTTGCTGACCTTGCAGAGGACCTGAGTTCAGTTTCCAGCACCCACATTGTATCCACACAGCTGCCTTCTTGACGGTCCAGAAGACCCAGTGCCTTTGACCTCTGTAGGCACACATACAATTAAAAACAGTACAAATAAATCTTAAAAGTTACTGGTGTTCATGTGAAATTAAAGTGTAATCTCACGCCCTATGTTTTCTAAGTTGTTCGCTTCTAGGAGAGAGCATGTTAAAGCAGAAGGAAGACAGATTTGGAATCCAGAGTCTATTTTCTGGCACTTAACCTTTTGCACATTCTGGGAGAGTTGTAGTTACGTATCTCATAGTACAAGTAGGTAAGATATATGTGATGGCGCTCATAAAGCATAGAGTACTCTAGTGCCGTGGCGTTTGGGGAGTCCTCAGACTTTTTAACAGATGGTTGGTTTAAGGTGGGATGGATCACTGTAGGAAGAAATCACGACTGAAGAGCTTGCATTCTCTTCTGTACCTCGGTGAGGAGATTCTGAGGGTGATGGAGGCAGACCTTTGTACAGACTTGCATTGGTTAAGAATATTGATCTGACCAGGTGTTGTGGTCCACACCTCTAATCATGCACAGGAGAGCCTGAGACAGGACTGTCACGAGGTGAGGCCAGCTTGGAGTACGTAATTACCCCCTCCCCCCAAAAAAGTTTAGATTGGTATGTAAAAGGAAAGATTAGGACCAGAGACTTTGGCTGTCGGTGTGACTGCCCAGGCATGGAATAGTGAGAGCCCTCCTGTTCCACAGATCTTCATTTCTAGGCGTCTGTTTTCTGTAGGGGGCTGTGTTAAAATACATGTGTATTGACGTTAGTCTTAAGTCAGACTCTTTCTTTCTTTTTTTCTTTGTTTCTTTTTGTTGTTGTTGGGTTTTTGTTTTTGAAACAGGGTTTCTCTGTAATAGCCATGGCTGTCTTGGAACTCACTTTGTAGACCAGGGTGACCTCAAACTCACAGAGATCCACCTGCCTCTGCCTCCTGAGTTCCGAGATGAAACGTGTGTGCCCCCAACCCCCCCACACACACTCTTGTTAGTGTTTTTTTTTTTGTTTGTTTTTTTGTTTTGTTTTGTTTTGTTTTTTCGAGACAGGGTTTCTCTGTGTAGCTTTGCGCCTTTCCTGGAACTCACTCTGTAGCCCAGGCTGGCCTCGAACTCAGAGATCTGCCTGGCTCTGCCTCCCGAGTGCTGGGATCAAAGGCGTGCGCCACCACTGCCCAGCGACTCTTGTTAGTTTTTATGCATTGTATCACACTTGGGTAGCAGGCTAGCCTTGAGCTCACTGGAGCTCTGTTTTCGTTGTGTTATCTCAAGCCAGATGTGCTGGTACATACCTGTAATCCCAGCACTTAGGAGGCCGAGTCAGGAACGTCAGTTCAGTGTCATCTTCTGTATAGAAAGGTCCTCCTGTTTCTGAGGGAGACTAAGGTTGAGGGATAGAGGTGTGGAGGGGATGGGGTCGGATCTCAGTATGTTGCCTAGGCTGGCTCCCAAATCCTGGAATCAAGAAAACCTCTTTCTTTGACTTACTGATTAGCTGAGCCTGCAGTCCTGCTCTGTTGCCTGTCCTGTATTTGACAGATGGATTGCTTGATGAACACCAGGACCTTGTTCATGTTAGGCAAGCACCCTGCCACCGAACTGCATCCTAGCTGTGTTCAGTATTAAAATTTTGATGTCATGGAAAGGTTGGGTAATACCCTATGTCCAGTTTTGTTATGATTTTGGGTGTGAAGGAGAGAATTGCATGCTGCTGAGGGAAAGCAGGTCTAAGAAATACAAATAACATTACCCCATTCAGATCAAGCTGGAGATAGGGAAAGCTGGGCTGGCAGTGTGGTGTTTTGTTTTGAGACAGAATCTTTTTTTTTTTTTTTTAAGATTTATTTATTTATTATGTATACAGAAGAGGGCGCCAGATCTCATTACAGATGGTTGTGAGTCACCACGTGGGTGCTGGGAATTGAACTCAGGATCTTTGGAAGAGCAGTCGTTTGGAAGAGCAGTCAGTGCTCTTAACCTCTGAGCCATCTCTCCAGCCCTTGAGACAGAATCTTGATACGTAGCCCTACCTGGAATTCCCTGTAGTCCTCCTGCCTCTGGAATTCTGGGATTAACATTAACAGTGTGGTTTTTCGAGACAGGGTTTCTTTGTGTAGCTTTTTGCCTGTCCTGGATCTCGCTCTGTAGACCAGGCTGGCCTCGAACTCACAGAGATCCGCCTGCCTTTGCCTCTTGAGTGCTGGGATTAAAGGCGTGCGCCCCCACCGCCCGGCTCAACAATGTGGTGTTTAAGGGATGCCTGCATAGGTGGTAAGGTGTCTGCATTTTCCGCCGGGAGCTCCCCTCCTCCCCAGGGGTTGTGAGGACAGGGCGCCTGCTTTGTTGTTGCCTGTCTGTCAGTGTTCTCCCCCTCTCTAAAGCCCCCTCACAGTCTCACCATCTCCCCACTTAGTAGCTGTTCCTCCAAACCCTGCTTACAGCCTCTTGTTTTTACATTTGGACTTGCCACTTGATTTGACCTGTTCAATCTGTGGATTCCTGGGAGGAGAGACCCAATTCCCAATGAAAGAGTGGGCCTTAGAGAAATAAGCACTTTCTTAGAGAAAAAAATTAACCAGGGGCTCGAGTGATGTTCAGTGGTCAAAAGAGCACTGGCTACTCTTACATGGGACAATTCCCAGCATCGACATGTTTCAGACCGTCTGTAACTCCAGTTCCAGGGATCCAACACCCGCTTCTGGCCTCCATAGGCACCAGGCATGCACATGAGTACATACATGCAGACAAAATGGCCATACACATACATACAGTTGTAAAAAAGGAAGTGGAAGTGGCAGAATGAGAACATGAACCTGGGCCTCAGCACTACCTGATGTTCCTGTTTCTGCTTTTTTTCAGTAAATCACCCCCCTTACCTTTTTTGGTTCTATTATCAGATAAATTTTTTTTTTTCAGATAAATTTTTATAAGGTGTAGAAAGTTATCACTGAGCCAGAGTTTGACTTTCGAGTAAAGTATCTTGTTCTGGGCACTGCTCCCTTTTCTTAGCACAAGTAGTGTCACTGGCTAGAACTCTCCTAGACCTCAAGAGTCATCAAGAGTTGGTCCCAGGCCAGGCGGTGGTGGCGCACACCTTTAATCCCAGCACTCGAGAGGCAGAGCCAGGTGGATCTCTGAGTTTGAGGCCAGCCTGGTCTACAGAGTGAGATCCAGGACAGGCACCAAAACTACACAGAGAAACCCTGTCTCAAAAAACGGAAAAAAAAAGAAGAGTTGGTCCCAGGCCAGGGATTTGGCTCAATGGTAGACTGTGTGACTAAGCCCCTTCCCCACCCCACTCCCGCCCCAAAAGGCAGGGAAGCTGGAGTCTATATTTCATAGTGTCTAGATTCTGGGTTTTTTTTTTTTTTTTTTTTTTTTTTTTTTTTTTTTTTTTTGGTGTGTGGGGGGGTCTCATATAGCCCAGGCTGTCCTCAAATTTACAATGTAGTTGAGGCTGGCCATGAACTTCTGATCCTCCTAGCTCCATCTTCAGAGTTCTAGGATTATAGCTGTGTGCTGCCACACCTGACTGGTGAGACAGAGTTCCCGGTGATTCTGTGTTCTAAGCCTGAAAGCCACTGCTGTACCACAGCGTGTCTGGCAGGAGGTGTTGGAGGGACCCCTGTCTGTAGACTGTGTTTCACGGGAATCCTCCACTGTTGTCATCCCCCCCCCCCCCCCCCCCCACTTTCCCCTAACCCGGCAGTGTGGACAACAGTGAGTACATGCGGAACGGAGACTTCCTTCCCACCCGGCTACAGGCCCAGCAGGATGCTGTCAACATCGTATGTCACTCCAAGACCCGGAGCAATCCTGAGAATAACGTGGGCCTCATCACACTGGCCAAGTACGTGGGACCCAGGAGTGGGGCTCTGAAGGTGGGTGGTGCTCCGTGTAGGGTTTGTAGGTGGCTGCCCTGTGTTGATAGCTCAGGCTGCTTTTCCCGTCCTGTGTTTCCTACCTCCTTCCAAAGTCAGCACAGCTTGTTGGGTGGGGAGGGCTTGTTGACTTTTTTCCTCCACACAGTTTTTTGTGTTGCTCTGGCTAACTGCAAACTTGATATGTACCTCAGGCTGACTTACACTCACACAGACTCTCCTACCCCTGCCTCCTGGTTCTGGGACTACAGGCCTGCACCACCATGCTCAGCTGTTAACCTTTTCATGTAAGGGTGACCCCAGGGCCTCCTGGGTGCTAGGCAAGTACGCTGCCACTTAGCTCTAGCCCTAACCTTTCGGGTTTTCTTTATTTCTTTCTTAAGATGTACTTATTTTGTATTTTATATGTATCTATATGCATTTTTCCTGCATCTATGTACGTATGCATGCATGGTACCCACAGAGGTCAGAAAAGGGGTTCACATCCCCTTGTACAGGAGTTACAGCTGGAAAATGAATCTGGGGCCTCTGCAAGAGCAGTAACTGCTTTACTGCTTTTAACCAATGAACTATCTCTTCAGGTTTTTTGTTTTGTTTTTTTTTTTTTTTTTTTTTTTGAGACAGGGTCTTATATAGCCTTGGCTGGCATCAGACTTAGAGATCTGCTGCCTCTGCCAACCCCATGCAGATTAAAGGCGTGCACCATCTTGTCCTTCAGGAGACCCTATCTTTTTTTTTTTTTTTTTTTTTTTTTGTGCATTGGTGTTTGACTTGCATGTATGTCTGTGAGAGGGAGTCCGACCCACTGGAACTTGAGTTATAGACAGTTGTGAGCTGCCATGTGGGTGGGTGCTGGGAATTGAACCCAGGTTCTCTAGAAGAGCAGCTAATGCTCTTAACCGCTGAGCCATCTCCCCAGCCCCCAGGAGACCCTATCTTAAAGATAAAAGTTGTTTTTAAGGCCTCTAAAGAAAACATGAATAACCATGCGGTGGTGGCACACACCTTTAATCCCAGCACTCGGGAGGCAGAGGCAGGAGGATCTCTGTGAGTTCGAGGTCAGCCTAGTCTACAGAGCAAGTTCTAGGACAGCCAGGGCTACACAGAGAAACCCTGTCTCAAAAAATCCAAAAAAAAGAGAAGAATGGGAGTGGTTGGGTGGCGGGTGTGAGGTCTGAACTCACTGCCATGCTTTGCCCGCACCTAGTGACTGTGAAGTGCTGACCACACTCACCCCTGACACTGGCCGCATCCTCTCCAAGCTCCATACCGTCCAACCCAAGGGGAAGATCACCTTCTGCACTGGCATCCGAGTGGCCCATGTGAGTCCTGCTGGCTTCCTGCTGGGAGGATCAGTGACTATTTTTCTTCAGAACTGTAATCTAGAGCTAGATAGAGCAAGATGGCCGAGAGCAGTGGGTCTCAGACTTCCTAACGCTGGACCCTTTCATACAGTTCCTCATGCTGGGCTGACCCCAGCCATAAAATTATTTCACTGCTACTTCATAACTGTGGTTTTACTGCTGTTATGAACTGTAATGTAAACATCTGTGTTTTCCGCTAGTCTTAGGTGACCCCCGTGAAAGGGTCGTTCAACTCCCAACCCATTTCGTGACCCACGGGTTGAGAACCACTGACCTGGAGGAAGCTTACTCAGTATAGAAAGGTCAGGACAGACGAACGTGAGGAACGTAAAGGGAAAGTCTGAGAACTGAGAAGTGGTCTTACACTTTGATCCAGTGAGGCACAGCGGAAAGATGGTAGACTTGAGGTTCTTAGATCCTGTAAGGAGAAGAGAGGGTGACCCAGGGAGGGACTTGGTGCTTCCCGTGCTGACGAGGAATTTGTTTTCCTTCCCAAGCTGGCTCTGAAGCACCGGCAGGGTAAGAACCACAAGATGCGCATCATCGCCTTCGTGGGTAGCCCTGTGGAGGACAACGAGAAGGACGTGAGTCTGCGGCAACCCTCAGGCGGAGCTGGTTACATTGGGCAGGGTCTGAAGACTTAGAGCCGGGCAGAGGGGTTGGGCACGGCATCTGGGGGTGGTGGATGTGTGATTTCAGTGTGGTGTCAGACCTTTGGTAGGCTGCTGGATTTCTGTACGCTTTCTGAGGCAAGTTCAGTCCTCTCCACATAGGGTCAATCTCTTCATTTTTCTCCTGTCTTCCCAGCTGGTGAAACTAGCCAAACGCCTCAAGAAAGAAAAAGTGAATGTTGACATCATCAATTTTGGGGAAGAGGTAAGTCAGGATTGCAGGGTGACGTGGGATCTGATCCACTTGGTTATGAACAGGGCAGCCCCCGCTCCCTCTGGAGACGGTGAGGAGCAGTGAGTGAAGGAGCTGTCTGTCTTGTGCTCTCTGCTCTGCAGGAGGTGAACACAGAGAAGCTGACGGCCTTTGTGAACACACTGAATGGCAAGGACGGAACCGGATCACATCTGGTGACAGTGCCTCCCGGGCCCAGCTTGGCTGATGCCCTCATCAGTTCTCCTATTCTGGCTGGTGAAGGCGGTGCCATGCTGGGTCTTGGTGCCAGTGACTTTGAGTTTGGAGTAGATCCCAGTGCTGATCCTGAGTTGGCCCTAGTAAGCAAATACTGACCCTGGGGTTGGTTCTTCTCTCTACAGATAGCCAGCTGGTGGGACTAGACAGTCCTAAACTCTTCCATGCTCTGGTTTTCGTAGACCCTTTCACTCCCTGTCTCTGAGGTTCTGTCTGCAGGACTCTAGCGCGTTCATTTTCCTAATGAAGCCCAGGCCCCGTCCAGCTTCTTTCCCGTAGCACTTCCCAGCATCATGGCTTCTTCCCCGTTCCCACAAGCTGGAAGGCGCCCTCCTGTGTCCTCCAGGCACATGTCGCCTGCAGCCCCCAGTAGCTGACCTGTCTTGTCTTCACCAGGCCCTTCGTGTCTCTATGGAAGAGCAGCGGCAGCGGCAGGAGGAGGAGGCCCGGCGAGCTGCTGCGGCCTCTGCAGCCGAGGCTGGAATTGCTGCATCTGGGACTGAAGGTGAAAGAGGTGGATTCTGAAGTCCCGGGCCTGAGGGGGGCATTTCCAGCTGGAGTGGGGAAGGCTGGGCTCGGCTTGGGGAGGGGCACGGCCAGCCCTGTGGAATGTCCACTAAGTCTTCCCTGCCCTCTGTCCTTTCCCAGACTCAGACGATGCCCTCCTGAAGATGACCATCAGTCAGCAGGAGTTTGGCCGCGCTGGCCTTCCTGACCTAAGCAGCATGACTGAAGAGGAGCAGATTGCCTACGCCATGCAGATGTCCCTGCAGGGGGCAGGTGAGCCAGGGCTGTGTGGCAGGGCCTTGGCAGAGGTCATGGTGAGGAGATGGCACTGAGCAGATGTGTTTCTCCTTTCCCAGAGTTTGGTCAAGCAGAGTCAGCTGACATCGATGCCAGCTCAGCCATGGATACATCGGAGCCAGTTAAGGTGAGGGCCAGCAGTGACCTCTGATCAGTCAGGTTTGAGATCCCCCGTATTTAGATCCTCAGCCTTTTAGGGCTGGGGCCATTCCTCCCTAGCATTTCACAAACGAGGCCTTTGAGGGACATAGATGTGTGATTTTTTTTTTTTTTTTTTTTTTTTAATCTGTAAACCTTGCCAAGGTAACAGTTAATTGGAGAAGTGTTCCGTTGTCCTGGAATTTTCTAGTGCGAGTGATCTGGATAGTTCTATAGGATTCCTCCCAAGAGGTCTGGGGGAAAGGAGTGTTGAGTGTTGCCCTACAGGAAAGCTTCATGTGGTGGTGTCAGGTTTTATCCTCTGAGCCCAGTTAGCAGAGGTCTCGGGCTTCTGTGCTTCTGGTAATGCTCACACCATGTGTGGGCATTGCTCTCCATCCCTTGTCCCTTCCCTTCCCTTGGTGGTACACCCCACCCCTGCCGTCAGGAGTGGGCAGCATCGTGCTCCTGTCCCAGCACCCCAGCTCACGGTGTCCTTTTTCAGGAGGAGGATGACTACGATGTGATGCAAGACCCAGAGTTCCTTCAGAGTGTCCTGGAGAACCTTCCAGGCGTGGATCCCAACAATGAAGCCATTCGAAATGCAATGGGCTCTCTGGCCTCCCAGGCCACCAAGGATGGCAAGAAGGACAAGAAGGAGGAGGACAAGAAGTGAGACTGGGGCTGGCTAAGTCTGCCAGGGGACTGTACAGACGGGGTTGGATATAGACTTAGATGTGCTAGCTGCAGCCTTTACAACCTGAATAAAGCTTGGCAAATTTTTCCCTTTTGCTTCAAGTAGTGGTAGCATCGCATGTGAGGAGTTGACCTGAAGGAATGTCCTCCATTTCCTGCTCTGCAGATGGCTCCTTCCTCTCCTCTCCATCCCTGACAGGTCCTCAGACTCCTTTCCTTTGTCATTAAGAGAAGCTTTGCTGTGGATCCACTGTTAGGTCCCAGGGCCACTGAGGTGCACAGAGAACAGCACCATGGTCGCAGTCTAGGGACAAGCTGATTTGTAATGAACAGTCTATGTCTGAGAGGTCAAAGAATTATTAGTTATGTATTTATTTATCTTTGAGACAGGGTCTCACTGTAGTCCTGGCTGGTCTGTATTCATTAAGTATACTAAATTGACCTCAAACTCAGAGATCCATCAGCCTCTGCTTCCCAATTGCTGGGATTAAAGGCATGGGCCACCATGCTTGGTTCAAAAGAGAATTATAAGGGGTCTGGCAAATGATTCAGCAGATAAAGGCACTTGCCATGAAAACCTGATAACAATTTTTTTTAAAGTTTTTGTATATGGGCCAGGCGGTGGTGGTGCATCACACCTTTAATCTTGGCAGGTGGATCTCTTGAGTTCGAGGCCAGCTTGGTCTACAGAGTGAGTCCAAGACAACCAGGGCTACACAGAGAAACCCTATCTTAAAAAAAAAAAAAAAAAAAAAAAAAAAAAAAAAAAAAAAAAAAAAAAAAAAAAAAAAAAAAAAAAAAGCTGGGTGGTGGTGGTGCATGCCTTTAATCCCAGCACTCGGGAGGCAGAGGCAGGTGGATCTCTGAGTTCGAGGCCAGCCTGGTCTACAGAGTGAGATCCAGGAAAGGCACAAAGCTATACAGAGAAACCCTGTCTGGAAAACACCAAAAAAAAAAAAAAGTTTTTGTATATGGGCATTTGCCTGCATGTATGTCTGCATCACATTCCTGCCTGGTACCCATGGAGGCCAGAAGATGGTATTGGATCCCCAGAAACTGGAGTTACAGATGGTTGTGAGCTGCTGCTGGTGTTGAGACTCAACCCAGGTCCTCTGGAAGAGCAGCCAATGCTCTTAACTGCTGAGCCATCTCTAACCTCTAATGACAAGAATTTGATCCCCAGAGTCCACAGAAAGCTGTGAGGAGGAGCTGAGACCAGAGTTGTTTTCTCATCTCCATTCAGATGCCATGTACATATGTGCCGCCTCCCCACCAATAAATACAGATGCTATCCAATAAAAGAGAACTATATACCAGGTGTTACAGCAGAGTTGGAAGAAAGATCTAGACTCTGGTGACCTCAGAGCAGGCTCCTGAGGGACCCTTGAGTTCTCTGAAAAAGCCAGTAAGGAAGAGATGGGTGAGTTCAAGCAGGTAGAGACACATTTGAAGATCTGAGCAGTGGCCCAGGACATCAAGGACCAGGAGTCCTTTAGGCCTGACTTCCTATGAAGGCACAAAAAATGGTGTGTCTTCATAGGGTGCCAAATTCTGAGGTAGCTTTTCTGGTAAGTTACGGTATAGAATACAGAACTCATGTAACTCCCTTGAATTTTTTTGTTTTTTCGAGACAAATTTCTCTGTAGTTTTGGAGCCTGTCCTGGATCTCACTCTGTAGACCAGGCTGGCCTCGAACTCACAGAAATCCACCTGGCTCTGCCTTCCGAGTGCTGGGATTAAAGGCGTGCGCCACCACCTCCCGGCTTCCCTTGAATTTTTGAGAGATGGTCTGTGTACCCTAGCCTGGTCTCAAACTAGTGAAGATTCTCCTGCCTCAGCCTCCCTAGTGGGCTGCCACACATGGTTTCTCTGTTTATTGAAAGTGTGATTATTACCTGACAAATAGGAAATACTGAACCTATGTTTGTCATAAAATACAACAAGACAAACACAGGAAACCACTTGGGAGCTGGAATGCTTGACTCCTTGTATGTATAGACAAGTTGCTTTTTACATTTCTGTGGCTCTTGAGATGGTCTAGTCTAGCCCAAGCTGAGCTGTAACTCATTAAGTATACTAAATTGACTTCAAACTCACAGAGATCCATCAGCCTCCCAAGAGCAAGAACTACAGGCCGTGCTCCCATGCTCATTGATTATGTGTGCCTTCTCAACCCAGGAGACAACTTAGCCTGGCTTTGGCACTTGAGTTTGTGGAGGGGGTGTACAAACAAAAACACACATGTGAAGGTTAGAACAGTTTGTAGGAGTCTGTTCCCTTTTTACCTTGTGAGTTCTAGGGATGTATTTAAGTTGTCACAGTAGCAAGTACCTTTGCCTCCTGAGCTATCTTGCTAGCCCTTTTTATTTATTTGTTTTTGTTTTAATAGTTTGTTTTTATGTGTGTGGGTGTTTGGCTGCATGTGTCTACTGCTTGTGTGCTTTGTGTCTATGGAGGCTAGCAGAGGGCACCAGATCCTCTGGGACTGGAGTTACAGACAGTTGTGGGCTACCATGTGGGTGCTGGGAACTGAACCTGGGTCCTCTAGAAGAGCAGTCAGTGCTCTTAACCACTGAGCCATCTTTCCAGCCCAAAGATTTTTTTTTTTTTTTTTTGGTTTTTCGAGACAGGGTTTCTCTGTGTAGCTTTGCGCCTTTCCTGGAACTCGCTTTGGAGACCAGGCTGGCCTCGAACTCACAAAGATCCGCCTGGCTCTGCCTCCCGAGTGCTGGGATTAAAGGCGTGCGCCACCACCGCCCGGCAAGATTTTTATTTTATTTTTTGAGTTGTATGTGTATGAGTGTATTGCCTACATGTAAGTCTGTACCACTTGCCTGCCTGGTGCCCAAGGAGGCCAGAGAAGGCATCACATTCCTAGATCTGGCATTACACATGGTCCATGTGGGTGTTGGGAGCCAAACCCAGGGCCTCTGCAAAAGCAGTAAGTGCTTCTAAACTGTTGAGCCATCTTCCAGCTCCTATCAGCCCTTTTTTTGGAACCAGTTTTATACATGTATATTAATAGCAGCTAGACACCTACTATTAGAATCTCATATACCAGAATGTGTTCAGTTGCTTTGTATGGTCATGTGTGTGCGCATGTTCAGGTTCACACACCCAGGTGTGTTTATGTGGCAACAAAAATGGACACTGGGTATCTTTCTCAATCCCTCTTCACCTTGGTTTTGGTTTTGGTTTTTCAAGACAGGGTTTTTCTGTGTAGTCTTGGCTGTCCTGGATCTCCCTCTATAGATCAGGCTGTCCTGGAACTCACAGAGATCCGCCTGCCTCTGCCTTCCAAGTGCTGGGATTAAAGGCGTGCGCCACCACCACCCAACACCTTATTTTTTGAGATGAGCACATCTCACAGAATCTGACCCTTGCCAGTTTGGACAGACTGGCTGCATAGCAAGCCCCAGAGACCCTCCGTCTCCCTGGTGCTAGGATGACAGGCAGTGTCCTAGCCTGCTTCTACATGGGCGTTAGGGCTCAAACTCGGGTCCTCTTCTTGCATGGCAAGCACTTCACCTTGAGTCCTCTGCTAGAGCAGCTGGTGCTCTTAACTACTGAGTCATGTCTCCAGCCCCCCTTAGTTAGTTTTTGACAGGGTTTTCCTTTGCAACCCTTACACCTGGGAGATGTACAGAATGGGCTGGCCTCCAATTTAAAGAGATACTATTGTCTATGCCTCTAACAATTGCTGGGATTAATTATTTTCTTTCCATATGATAGGAAATGCTTACTAAGGGAAGGCTATAGAAATGGTCTACACTAAGGAAATACAGACTAAGCTGTAAAACCAGCCTCAAGCTCACTGCAAGTTTTGGAATCCTTATCTGTTGTTAGCTTCCTGAAGAATCACAGGAGATGACCTGGAAGGAAACGATCTTACATATTATGTGTGTGTGAATGTATACACTTTCATGGCAGTGGCACAAATGTGGAACTCAGAGAACAGTTTGTGAATATTGGTTCTCTCCTACCGTGTGGGTCCCAGGAAATGAACTCAGGTTGTTGGGCTTGGGAGCAGGTGCCTTTACTAGGCAGAGGCAGGTGATCTCTGAGTTCAAGGCCAACCTGGTCTACAGACAGAGTTCCAGGACAGCCAGGACTACAGAAAAACCACCTTGAAAAAAGAAAACAAAAATTTCATCACCTGGCCCTGCCAAGATGAATTCTCCTAAATTTCATCACTACAGCTGAGTCATTTGGGATTAGGTCTCTGGCCCAGGCTGGCCTTGAACTCATTACCCCTGTTTTAGCCTTCCAAGTGCTGGGATTATGAGCATGAGCAATCTGACTCTTGAAATCCTAGAAGTAATCCTTTATGTGCACCTGGGAGCTATGAGAGAGACATAACCTCCTATCCTGAGAAAACAAATTCAATGTAGGATAAGTAAATGGTTATAATTGGAAACAGTAATCCAGGGTTTATTTTCAAATATATTTCATTAATATGCTAAGAATTTAGTATACCATCACTTCTTCTTCGTGACATCCGAGTGTGGTACACCAGGGGCGTGGTTATGAAGCCGTCTATTGACTGACTGGTTGCCCAGAGCCTTGTGTGTGCCTGGCAAATGCTCTACCACCTGTCTGCATTCCTGGCCTGGGGTCTGCTATTTGAATGGTCATATTGTGGGTTGAGGCTAGGGGAGTGGGCCTTTTATACGACAGTGGCAGACAGTGGCTGGCTGCAGCTCCGGGAAGGTGTGTGATCTGGTGAGGTCTCCAGCCGAGGCAGTGCTGTGGGAGAGGGCTGGCTGCTTGGCAGCACTTTAGCAGACAGTTGGAGCTTCTTTCCTGAAGGGAGATGGGTGTGTATACCGTAGCACACTCCATCAGTGCCTACTCTAGTCCATGCCTGGTACTGGTCCAAGTGTCCTTGGAGAACTGTAAACACAACCTATCAGCGTGAATGAAGAAGTGATTCCCCTGGTGAGTGTGGCCCATGGGGACTGTGGCGCTGAGACTCCGCTTTCATCCCAGAGGAGGAGGAAGGCTTGCTGGCCGAGTCCCTTGCCCCCATGCAGATTGTATCTGGTCTTAGAGACCAAGCTGGGTCTCCACTGCATCAGCAGCCACAC